CGGATGTCTGTTTTTTAATGGCATTGTCCTATGTAAAATAATAAATATTTTCAAAGCTGGCTTGCAATCCTGTTAAACAGCAAGATTATGCTATGTTCATTGATACAAATCGATACAGTATCATACGTTTCTAACCGATGGCACAATGCCGGTTGCCAAGCTCAATCGGTTGACACTCCCCCCCCCCCCCCCCACTCACACACACACCAAGCAGCAGGCGAAGCCTGGCGAATTGTGTGTCACCGAGATTTGGTAAGAAATTCCGACCTTAGAAATATGTGACGCACACTGTGGAGCAAAATATTGACGCTATTGCATTGATAAAAGAGTTGTTCATTTTGGTTCTAGTGGCTCAAATCATGCTGCAAAATCTTGACAAATATTTCAGTGCTAGAGATGTCATCAGCGCTAATAATTTTTGAACGGAACTTCGTCATCAATGGCATATATTGGTCTTGAGTTGATCTCATTTTTAACTGTCAACTGCTAGCAAAAAAACCAACATCTCTGAATGCCATTTAATGTGCATTTCTTATGGTTCATATTTCTTACGGCCAGTTAACTTAAGCAAATCACGGAAAATCAGTCCAAACAATTACGCTTTTTGTGATCCACGTTTTTCACGTGGTCTCTTAAGAACAGCATCTTGCATAGTTAATTGAAACTTTGAAATTGTGCTGTGAACTCATGTCCTTTAAACCCCGGCGTCGATTCATCAAACATGAAACGCGAGGGTGAAACACCGCTGTCAAAAGCAAATCCATCCAAACGCCGCACGGGAATGGCCGCTCGACTTACCGCAGAGCAGCAGCAGGGTGGCTGAGATCTTCATGGCTGGAGCCCGACGAGGTACCCCGATGCCATGCCGAAGGGTCGGCGCCGCCGGCTTATATACGCGGCTCCGGGCGGGCGCCGGACGGCAAAAACTGCCGGGCCGGCGCGCCACGGTCCCAGGCCCCCTGTTGCCGGCCGGGGTGGCGTTTTTGCCAGCCGGCCGGGCTCGGCGGGGCGCTCCTTCGCTGGACGGGCGAGGTGAGGTGTCACGGCGTCGCTCCGCGCCGGTGGCACGGCTCCGGTCACCTCGGATGGGGCCCGTGCCCCCCCCCGGACGCCGCCCTCCTGCCCGCTCTCGTTGGCTACGCTCAGACCAGGCATAACGGAATCGGACCAGCAGAAAGGCTTTTTCATTACATGGCTGCAACAATGAAATGAAACGGTGATACCTATGGACAGCCTTTGCTCCATGTCAAGGCTGGCCCGCTACAGTAATGCAATTGTGTTCTAAATGCTGCACCGCAATGCCCGTAACACAGTGGTGAATGACCTTTTCGAAGTGTTTTGTACAGACATGTTGCATTGTTAAGATCAAAAGATTGAAAAATAGAGTTTTAATGTGCATTGTAGTGATATGACTGCACACCACACGATTCCAAAAATCAAGGTTTGAACACTGGATAGGCCCAATATGCATGAGTGTGTTGTAATAAGGTATACGTCAATGTGCCACCTGGTATCCTGATGTAGTATTTTGGTGGTTTTCAATAAGCAAAACGCAAAACGTCTCTTCACGGCGATATCACTATTCACAATTTGTTTATCGCCAGTCGTCACATGTCGAGAAAATACAAGAGGTGAGAGACGGACCAAAAATACCAAAAATACCGACAAAGAATATATGATAACGTTGAAAGAATAAACGGAACAATTGGCTCAATCATACGCGGAAACTTTTCCTCAGATGGAGCTATGAGATGCCTTTAAATAGCTGCTGCAGTAGTGTGTAAAATGTGTGTTACCCACTGGAGAGCTGACGTTCGTCAGCTGGAGAGGCAAAATGGACTCTATAGAGGAGGTCGTTTTGTCAGCACTCCTGCCTTGATCATGTAGTTCGTAGCTGAACCTGAATAGCGGTGCGTCTGCACCAAATCCCGTGAAGCCACGCAACCGCAGGGTGAATAGGCATGTCAGGACCTTGACCCAGCCGGCCGGCGGCATCAAAGGCGCGAGTTGCGGTAGCTCGAAGACCCGCGCAGCGTCACTAGTAGGCAGTGGCGTTTCTTGAAGGTGAGATGATGCGTGTACGGGGAATGTCTGCCTTGTTGTGATGGCAGGTTTGTAACTGAAACTCCAGTTTATCCGCTGCGTGAAGAAGGGCCGTGACTTGGATAGACGATATTGAGACCAGACAATGAGCATTACAATGGGCAACATTCGTCCGCATCATAGGCCATGTTTCGCTATAGGGACCAGTCACTCGAGTTTTGGTTGGCGAGTCTTGTCACGCTAGTCTTCCAAACACTTTTTCATTGATCTTCATTTTTGTCATCGGCTCTCTGATTTCTAGTTTGTCTGAAGTTTTGCCCAGCGCACTGTGCTAGCCCGAGATCATGGTTACCACGTGCTTCTTGTCGCTTACTGGTGTTTTAGGGCGCGTCGACGACTATGGTCATTTTTCGCTCATTTATTACCATGTTCAAGGCGGGATGTTGATCAAAGCCAAGAGCGGGTGCCATAATTTGCCACACAATTTAGGGCCTGGTCGCCGGAAAGCTGAAACGAATGACGCATTTTGCAACTTTCAAACCTCATTTGCATGTCAATAAAGCTTGATGATTAAGTGGCATTACTGCACAGCTTTGATTCCGAGATCTGAGGAAACGCCGTCTCCCAAACTCCCGACTACTTTGGAATACATGATTTTGATGGGATCTGTAGACTTGGTGACGCGCAGTTTGATGTGGTCACTTTATGGTGTTGCTGCTTTGCAATGGGAAACTGGCTGTGCTTGTGACGCTCTATTCCCAAAACATGGCATATTGTATATTGCATAAATCGAATTTTTAAAGATTTGATCGGGACTTTTAGAATGGATGGATTTCAGGGATCATGGCTCATACATAGTGTTTGTTGCGTGAGCCCCGACCCCCACCACCCGATCGCGAAAAAACGCAGGTCAGAGGCAGAATTTGGTGGCGGAAGTGTAATGTGCTGCCATGCTCGGCACGGTTCGACCTGCCCTGTGACATCAACTAGCCTCCAGCGCGACCGCTACCACCGGCCGCAGGCCACATCTGTCATGGGCAAATAGCGAGCGCCTAAGGCGACTGGCGCCGACCCTTCACGGCTGGGTGGATCAGAAGACGGGCGCACTAACCAACTGATACATCGGGGCGGCCAAGCCGATGGATCCACTAAGCCAGAGACTTTTCTCGCGACCGTCGTAATGCACATCAGTATCAGAACCTATCCGTCCAATCGAAGGATGACGGATGGGATAGGATGAGACAATGATAAGATTCGAACGGGAGCAGGATGTAGGGCTGCACAGGAAGGGCGTGGGACAGGTATAGTGTAAGGATGCACCAACCAGGTGCACGTCAAACAATGAGGCGCTTACTTTTACGGATCGAATGGTTACAGTTCTGGGCAATGGTAGGCAGCAGCCGGGATAATACTAAAGGGCGCCACAGAACTACTGATAATGACTTGAACGTTTTCTCGAGGCTCGTTTCCTTGCATTCCGTTTGCTACGTTAAGTAACTTAATCGTTTGTTCACTTGGAAATAATTTCATTGTGTTCCTACGTGAGTACAGCGGGTGCAGCGATGCTTGCCGGCAGGGCTCGCGGCATTGGTGGTAATTCTAGAAAAAGTCGCGTGTAGAAAATAACTTATGTTCTGAACGCTTGCATCATTTCATACCTTAGGACTACTCACAGTTTACGAAGCTCAGTTGAAAACTTCATTAGCCCTGAGGGTATGAACGCAGTTTGAACGGTAAATAAATGCTTTGTTTCGAAGAAGCAAGCCGAAAAATTCACTTCAGGCCAAAAGACGAGCCTCAGGAAAACACCATACACTGACTGATTCCACATGTTCATGCAGTTTCTGTAACAAACGATGTATTACATAGCAGTTCAGAACGCGTCTCCCACATACGCGCATGCGCGTAGAGCGGAAAAATGTCGTTGCAAACGTCGATGAAGGTGCGATAGCACTGATCCATTGCCATATCGGTGATCTAGACGGGACCTGCAGCGAGGTGACTATCACGTATTACGGGTATATGACACAGACAGGGTCGCCCACAAGGTTTACCTTGTCTCCTTTACATATATTTGTGGCTGAAACGAACAGATGACGACATGTGCATTGCACTACGACTGAATAATTTGCGTGATGAGTTCTGCTGCGCGGTGCGCACAATGGCTTGCGCTTAGTACGCATTTTAAGCCAGGAGACATGGGTGCAATTTTTGACACGGCATGTTGGCACGGCTTGAACCTTGAGCATAGGTACTTAAAGTTTTGCTGCCATGATTGCTAGCAATGAACAGCGTCATGTGGCCCTGGGCTGCTATGCGTTTAAGAAATGCTGTGGTGTTATTAAGATCACCCGAAGCTGAATAAAGTGTACGTCGATATGACTATTTAGGATAGCATCAAATATGAGTATGCTTCCAAGGCTCGACTAAATAGTGTAAAGCCGTTTGAAATGAAGTTCACTGCATTATTTGTGACACATCTCCACTTTTGCAGCATAAAAGCCAAAAATTTCGTCATCCGAGATGCAGTGCTTTTGCCCCGCCCCTCGCCCCCTCCGGCTCAGAGTGGGACGAGTTTCTTGCGGCGGCTCGTGACTCATTTTGCCTGCATCGACCTGATATAGTTTGGCAGGCTTTGCATTGTTCTGTACTGTCAATGCCGTGGTGTACATGGCTTTTCCATTCTCGTATTTACACGATTCGTTTTAGCCGGAATGCTGGCACCGTATCCCATGATAATGGATAGCCGGCTGATTTACCTGCCTTCATTTTTACATAATCGCTAAAAATGCCCTACCTTGCCGCCAGCCTCGCGATGCCTTACACCTTATTTCGCCATATTGCCAGTGAAGCACGTTCGCACTAGACGGGATTCGAACCTCAGCCTCCCGGATCCCAAGTCGGACGCTCTCGTTCACGGCTATCGTGCCGTCCCTGACCGCTGTCACCCGTCACAGCCACCGCGACCTGAAGCCGGAGAACCTGCTGCTGGACGAGAAGAACAACATCCGCGTGGCCGACTTTGGGATGGCGTCGCTGCAGCCGGACGGGCACACGCTGGAGACCAGCTGCGGCAGTCCCCACTACGCCTGCCCGGAGGTCATTCGGGTGAGTCGCTGCCCCGCGGCGGCATGACCCATTCTACATGGGCTGAGCCCCTCTCTCTGCTGCGGTTGTGAAGTCATCCAGCTCGTGAGCTTTTACACTCACCCCAGGTGCTGATTTGCCTGAGTTACTTTGGTCGTATTGGCTTGGCTGCCACGGGAAAATGAATCTCATTGGTCGGATTGCTGGGTAAGAATATCCGGATCACTCGGATTGCCTGAACCAGACTGGTCCGGTCGGTAGTACTGTTTGCGTCAGGTTGATTAGATCGGTTAGAGATTGTCCGGAACAGATGGCACAGACTGCCTGGATCGGCTAATGCAGACAGTCTGGATCAGATCAGCCAGCGGTCAGGTGAAACTGCCCAGTCTGCGGTCAGTGGACTGTGTGCCGGGGACTCAAGTGCAAAAACGGTGAACTGAGCAGCCTGCCAGGTGGCCGAGTGGGGGTGGGGGCGGGGCGGGGCGGGGGCGGGAGTGGGGGCGGAGGAAGGAGGGCAGCGGAACGGGGCACGGACATGAGCCGCGGCGTCCCCGGCTGCCCGTTCTCGAGAGCCGGCAGAGCTCCGCGGGTTGGCCCGCCCCCAGTGTCGCGCCCACCCGGCGCCGTCCGGCTCTCGGTGCCCGGTGAGCAGGCTTGTTTTCACCGGCCGGCGGCATCATTCGTATTCTGGGACGAGCCTCGGGTTGCGCCGGGCTCCGAACGCTCCGGCTGATGGAAACGGCCTCTGACGGCGGTAACAGCCTGCCGGGCTTTGTGTACGCGAAAGAAATGGAAATGAGACCAACAAATGCGTGGCGTTGCGAAATGGGGAGGCTCAGCACCCGCTTAAAGAGCACAACAAGCGGTGTCGTGAATCTGTGGGCGCTTGGCTGCCGTTCAAAGCGTGTTTTCGAGCATGACTGTGGCCGAAAGGGACTCATTTTAACTCTACGGGCAGGACTGAATTGGCAACCCAGTCCGATCCTGTATGTTCAGTGGGCCAAATCCGAGCTAAAACGTGACAATCACGGCAGCACGCGAAGAACATTTGCAGCTTGAACGGACAGTACGACGCTGTGTGCAAAATGGCAGCCTTCATGTTCACGGCTCCTGTACGGATTTGGCTCGAACATGCCTCGCCAGAGAGGTTCTTGCGTGCATGTCGCAATGTCAGACGATAGACTGTTATCAGCAAACAGTCCGAAGTATACCGTTGCTCAGGTTTCCCTATTGCATTACCATATAGTAATGAGACCTTTGGGTTATTCGCTGCATGCACTATCAAAGAACGCATGTTGATGTCAATCATTTAAAGACCGCGATCTGTGCTCAAATGCGGGAACATATGCGATCAACCCGTGTCACATGGCTGAGGTGTGATCATGACACGACATGCCTGCACGGTCATGCCCATGTACACAATCCGCATGTACGAACGCTGCAGTATACGCATGGAAAGAATTTTCACAGGAGTGAGGGCTTGGACAAGCATTGGAGGACGAAAATGAGAAACATGTGGGATTATTAAATGCAGTTGTAGGAACATTCGTTGGCAGACGGAACTGCCTAGCAGCCTTTCAAATCGGTCGTCGTGGTCTGAACTGTGAAACATGCACGTCTAAAACCCAGCTCAATTGTGAGAGGGCTTCACAAATTCCCCTGTACCTTCGAGCGCTTACAGATTAGGATCAGAAAAGAGTTTTGACAACTGCAAGTTATAGGGAGGCGGCCGCCACCTAACCGTGTAAGTGTGAAGAAAAATCTGAAAATGCCTTTCTCATAAGACGCTATAATGAAATGGTTGCAGCTTAACGCCCGTGATACCGCTGATGGTCGTACTCTTCAGAACACCTTTCTGCAGCGCGCAAGTACGCCCTCGACAACACCATTCACAACCTTCCCGTCTCAGGGGGTGGCCCCTCAGACTGGACTTCCCCACACACCGTGCCGGTCAATAATGCAGCAGCATGGCCGGGTCCAAAGGACTTTGCACCGGTTTCCCGGGACGGTGGTGTAATGAATGAATGGGGACAGGAAACAGTGGGCGATGAAAACCACTTGGGCTATCAACGTCGCATTAACTCATGTATACCGTGCACGATCGCAATTTGTGGGATGCGGCAACCAAGAGGGTCAAGCGGTACTAGTCAGTGGTTCTTGACAGGCATAGGCAAGGGTTTTGTGGACTGGGCAGCATGTCAAGGTTTCCCTATCTGTCAACAGATGGTCCAGTGCTACGTACTACCGATGACAGCTATTTTCGTCGATTGCGCTGTGCGTGCTGCCGTCTCCCCCCCCCCCCGCGGGACCCCCGTTACCTTGTCCGCTGACTCGAATCAAGCTGGTAACCTACTGCCTCTAACCCGCACCATCCCGGAGCTGTATTCCATTATGACGGCTGAGATCGCCTTGCTCAGTGCCGCTGGTGTGCGCGGTGCTCACTGTATCCCTCATGTCCAAAGGTCACTCATGAGTAGGGTTCATCGTGTCAGCAGTGTCCACCCCGATCGCCGTGTCCGCTGTGGGGTCCGACCCTTGTCCTTCATCAGCCCATGATTACGGTCCTCGCCTTGTCTGTGTCCACGTTGTTTAAAGTGCGCGCAAGGTGTCCAGACCGCCAATGCGCCCTTACAATATGTGGCGTTCTTTGAATCCAGGGGTGTCGATATGCATTCCCCTTGGACCCCCCCCCCCCCCCACACACACACACTCCATATTGGTTTCAACCTCGTAATACTAGCTTGGCCATTGGTTTTTTATTTTTGGGACATTGCAAAAGTTGAGGAACATACTAAATATTAAGCAGATCCTTTCATCTTTTGGGCATTATTTTATGGCTATGTTCTCTGCGCCATTCACACGCAAAAACTTATTCATATATGATATCCAGCTATTAAAGACAACATTTGATGTGCTTTGAGAAAATGACCTTTAACCCATTGAGAAAAATGACCGCTCAATTGTTCATACTTATAGCTCAGTTGGTTAGATCCACCACTTTACCGGGCCGTGGTGGGATGGGTTCGAGTCCCTTAAGGCGCTCGCTATTCACCCCTGAAAGGTATGGCTCGCTGCTGGTGGCAGCGGCCGCGCTAAAGGTCAGGTGACGGCAGAGGGCAAGGCGGAACGTGTCAAGCGTTGCGGCACGTTAATCTTTTGCCCTCAAATTCTGCCGTTTATCTGGCATTGCGCAGCTGGATGGTTTAGGTAAGAGCTCACGCCACACAACCAATGCTTAGCGTGATCTCTGATCTCAGAAATCCACCCATTCAAAATGTTTGAATGCAGCCTTTAAGGAATACACATTGGGGGACGCAAACCTGGCTCGCTTCCGCCTCCCACCGCTCCCCCCCCCCCCCTCTCCCCAACTTGCACAAATCGCCTCCTATGCCTGGATCTGCAATGTCCGCGGTGTTGGCAGTGCTGCGTGTCCTCGGAGTTGGCCACTTCTAAAGCGTCCGCAGCATCCGCAGTGCCCGAAGTGTCCATCTTGTCCACCGTTTATGCTGCGTATCCCCCGCATGCCCTGGCCACGTGTCACCCTCGCGGGCGGACAGCGTAGGTCGCAGCGCCTGTCAGCGCCGCGAATGTTGACCGATGGCCCGTGTCACGCTCTCAGTTTTTATCACCGTCGTCTGGGCCGCTTTTTTTACGAGCGGAGCTACGTTCGGGAGTGGTGACAACTGCACGATGCCTTGTCGGGACGATGAGTGCGTTTATGAGACAAGACCAGCCGGATGAGCTGGTGGAGGTTGCGCTTGCCGTCCAACGACGCCTACGCTTGACAAAGATGGCGCTGTTGGTCGCCGAAGACTATATATTATATATTTTATATTATATATAATGCTTTATAATTATATATTGTATATAGTACACACCTTATATATATATATAGAGAGAGAGAGAGAGAGAGAGAGAGAGAGAGAGAGGGAGAGAGAGAGAGAGAGAGAGAGAGAGAGAGAGAGAGAGAGAGAGAGAGAGAGAGAGGGAGAGAGAGAGAGAGAGAGAGAGAGAGAGAGAGAGAGAGAGAGAGAGAGAGAGAGAGAGAGGGAGAGAGATTTTTCTATAAGTATAAATAATAAGATAAAAATGATATGAAAAATATGAATAGAAAACTATTAAAAGTAAGAGTGCCTACTACCAAAACCCCCACATTTCCAAGCTTGATAACCTATTGCGCTATTTTTTGCCAGCAATTTGACCTTTGATTCGTTGGGATTGTCTGGGCGCTTTACAGCCTGCTTACAGCATTACACAGGCATAATATTTCCAGCTACAAAAGTCTCCTTCACGCACTTTGACATGGTTCGATAGCATGAACTTTGTCAGGAGCAGACAGTGGCGGCGCTCCGACGTAAAGCCGTATTACCATCAGCGTTGTCTTACGAAGTGCATGGGTGCCTTGCGTATAATTTTGAAGATAAAATGGGGTGGGTAGTGAAACAAGTACGCACCCCACCTCCAAAATACGCCCAAAACGGGTTTTCTTCCCGAACTCGACCCAACTCCTTCTCAAAGTTGAGGTGGACTCATCTCAATGTTGGAGTGGGCGGGGCCCCCTCCCCCAATTTAATATGGAACTACATCCTTCCTAGGAAACTTCGTCCACCGTTTTGGGGACGTACGCAACTTTTGTGCTACCACTATTGAGCTTTTTGGCGTTTTTTGGCAGTTTTGGCAACTTCCGTGATTTGGGCCGCGCTTTGTAGAAAAAAGAGGAAAACCGCTGAAAACAGGGGAACGTTCCTGCCAAGAGGAACGAAGCCTTATCCATCCCCGAATACTGCCATTTTCGGCGCCTTCCCCCATGAAGCCACCAAGAGCAGGTGATGCGGCAGCTGGTCGCTCCACGAGCACCAACCTCTCTTATGTAACTTCGGAACCATCACCCTGCACGCTTGATGTCCCTCGGCTCTTTAGACGCTCCATGACTGGTGGATGATCGGATCAAGCGGGACATCTGAAGTTATTGCCATGACCTTTACCTGACGCTCAGACGAATGTTCACGGCATTCTGTGAA